CATCTAGGTGGCTCTGCCTTGTGATTTTGCAGATGCATAAGTAAACCTGGGCCACCTCGTGACACTTTGTCTTAAAATAAAAATAAAAGGTCTGGGGGTGTAGCTTACTAGTAGAGCACGTTCAAGGCCATGGGTTTAATCTCTTGTACTGCCAACAGCCCCCTGCAAAAAAAAAAAAAAAAAAAAGCGCTTTGAAAAATGGATACTCTAATCCCAACTTGTTTTTAGAAATAAACATATCTTTTTAATTTGAAGAAATAAACAATAATTTATTATTACATTCCATAAATGTTTCAACTTGTTAACATCCAAAGTAATGATAGCTAAAATAATAGGTCAATAAAGTATCAATTTTTTGAAAGTAATAAAATCCATTATTTAAATTTAGGGAGACTTAATGCCAGACTCTAAATATAATAATAGTCACAATTATTATACCTCTGTCTGTGCTGCTAGAAAAATATTCTAAAAAGAATTTAAGAATTTAAACCTAAATTCTTTACAGTTGCACCGGTGACTGCTTTAGTGCTATTGTGATGATCAGTCAGATCTTGGGAGTCTCGGGAGAACCCCTCAGCCAAGGTGATGGGATTGGATTCAAGAAGTTGTTCCTATTTAGCTATTTCAGCTAGTATTCAGATATCACAACTATACTAAACTTTTGAGTGGCTTTCTTTCTTTAAGGCTAAATTGTTGTATTGCCGTAAAAATGTTACAGCTGTGATAGCCAGAGGCTTGCTGTGTGACACTTGTTGCAAAACTGCCTCATTGTCACCTTGTATTTGGCCCTTTCTTCTTTTTCTTCTTTTTTTTTTGCCTTTTTGAGACAGGGTCTCACTATGCAGTTCAGGCTGGCCTTGAACTCACTTTGTAGCCCAGGCTGGTCTCAAGCTTACAATGATCTTCCTGCCTCAGCCTCCCAAGTGCTGGGATTACAGGTGTGTGCCACCACGCCCAGCCTTGGCCCTTTCTTCTATGGACTGCACCCCACTATTTCAAGCCATGTCTTCCTGCTTGCTTCCCTTTTGAGAAGAACAGGCTCAGCAGGGTGAACTTTGACCTGATCTTGTTTAGTCCTCTTGAAGATTTTTCTGCCTGCCTAATGGTCAGTGTTTGTTGCTAATAACTGCCATGTATTAAGACGAGGAGCTCTCAATGACACTGTGTTCCATTGGGTGACAAGTGTGCAAATGAGAAATGGTGGTGCAATAAGCATTACGTTCACGGAGTTGTACCCACTTGGCTTTCTGAGAGGCATCTTCAGCTCAGGCTCCACATTAGCCTGTTTCCTTCCTGCTGCCCCACACCCACCGAGTCCTGTCCCAGTTACTGCACCCAGGGAGTGCCCCCCACCCTGGTGATGTGAGTCACAGTCCACACCCCCATTTGCTGCCTACTTTGCCACCAGACTGGGACTGGGTGCAGTTCTTGCCTGTCTCTAGTCTACTTGCTCCCTGGCCTCTCTGCTCAGACCACACCCAAGGCACTGTCCCTCCAGATGACCCAGTGGTTTCCTGGCTTATCTCGTCACACCTGTTCCTATCACACCCTGCACACGCACCATCACACACATGCGCTTTAAACATGCAGGTCCTTCATTTGGCCCCTCCCTAGCTCTTTCACTGTGTTGTGGAACAGAAGCTGTGTTCCCTGCTTCACTGGGCCTTTGAGCAACCCCTTCCCCATCCCCTTTCCTGCTGTTCACAGCCCTGCTGTCTCTTCCTTAGGGAACCCTTCCTAACCCCCTCACTCAGCCACAGCTAGGTCTTCTGAAAGCACAGCTCACTGCTTTTTGGAAACTTAACTTTGCATTTATATTTGTGATTCTTTGGTTGTGCTGCTCCGAGAAGGCTAGAATTCTTTACGTTCTCTATTGGTTTTTGTTCACTGTTTGTAGCTCTCAGCAGGAATGGTGTGGCTTTGCATGGTATTTGTAGTATAGGAAACCTGATTTCCCTAACAGTAGTCCTTGAGTGGGTGTTCATTGAATGAAGGATATCCATACAAACAGAATGTGGGAATGAAGGAGAAAGTATATTAGTTTCTCAGAGGAGTCAGGAAAGAATCAGGTGAGGTGGTGTTAGGATAGAAGGGTTTCTTGGGTGCAGTGAATATTGGTAGATGAGCATTTCTGTCAGAGGGGAGAACATGAGCCAGTACAGTAAGCTGGGCAAGCATGTTGCATAGGGACCTTTTAAACTGTTTCACTTCCTCAAACATGAAGGGTGAGTTGGGAGAGGATGAAGACAAAGCTGAACAGTAAGCCTGGGAAATGATCTGTAGTTTCTGCTTGAAGAGTTGTGGGTTCCCGCCCTTTAGTGGGTCCTGAATTTAACATTTAACTGGTGAGTCAACATTTATCCGGTTGTCTTGTGAGGGGAAGGGGAGCAATGCTGAGGATTGAACTCAGGGCCTTATGCATAATAGCAAGCTCTTTACCACAAGCTATACCTTGAGGCCTAGACTAGTACCTTTTAAAAATTGAAACCCATTAGGCTAGAAAAATACCAGATTATACTGTGTATGGGTAGCAAGACCCAGTATGACTTAGTGAAACTTTTCTGGGATGTGTGTGTGTGTGTGTGTGTGTGTGTGTGTGTGTGTGTGTGTGTGTTATAAACATGTGTTTGTGTGTATCGGTCTGCATGTAAAATGTAGCTCTGTGGTTGGTTTGGAGTAAAAGTGTGACATCTGAACATCCCTGTTGGAGGTGTTGAGTACCATTAAAAGATGTCCGTCAGAGGCGTGATGGCCAGCCCTCAGAGTTGGAGATGCCTCTTAGTGCTGGCCTGGAGCATAGATGGGAGGAACAGGAGGATATAAGGCAGTCGCAGTAACCAGTGTTAGGTGCAGGACTGAGATAGGGCCTTGACTAAGGTATAGGAGGTGACACCAACCTCTCAGGAGGGGCTGTGTTAGGGAGGTGAGGATGATGCCTACTGATCAGCCTGGCTGCAGGCAGACAGAGATGCCAGTCACGTAACTATTTGTACCCTTTTCCGATTCATATCTTGGTCATCTGGAATAAACCTTTTCTCAGGAAAAGAGCTGCCTGGATAATAATTTTGTACCATAGGATATGAAATGTCACGGGAGAGGTGGAAACTGTGGGCTGAGGCCTGCTCTGTTGGCCATTCTGTCCTCAGAAAGAATTGCTACAGAGAAGCAGGAAAGGGATCTTCCTTTAAGTCCTCCAGAGGTGACCTTTTTCCTGCTCACTTCCTCTCTCCTCACGCATGTCCCCTCCCAACCACCACTCTGCCTTTCTTGCAGCAGGGAGGCCAGCCAGGTGTTCTTGTAGTTATCTCTGGGGCAGGCAGGAGCATAAGGTACCTTTCATTTTCTTTTTCATGTTTTTCTTCATCTTCTAGGTTTTCTATAAGGAAATATATATTACTTGAGCCATCTTTTTTCTGACTACAGGTGAATGAATACAAGTTTGTTTTAAGCAATTAAAAGAACATAGTAATATATAAAAATGATGGGAACATACCTAGTAATGCCCTAACCAGATTGAATCACTGCTAGTATTTTGGCGCTGTTTTTCTGCATTCATGGCAGCCCACACAGTCACATGTATTACTCACAGGTGCGGTTATAGCCCTGCATACCTCTGTAGACCCATGACTTGCACCTATTTCCCACTAGCCAATAACACAGACAGCCTTCAGGCCATTAACAAATCCAGAATGGTATGGAGAATGTGAGCACAACAAGTGGATGAAATAGAGTGGACAAGCTATCGCAGTGGTGGGCAGCGGTTGGGGTCAAGGGGCTATTGGCATTGGCTCTTGTTGTTTGCTTTTGGTATACGAGAATATACACACATGGGCCCATCTTTGTTGGCTCTTCTGAGGTTCCAGGAGAAGCTAGAAAGCTGGAATCCTTGGTTGGAGTTTTGTAATGTTTCACAGGCCCATCTACTGCCTGGATTGTGGCTATGGAGGGGCTGGTTTGCTACTGGATGTAGATGTGCCTCATTCTATTTAAGTAGTCTTTTAAAACAATTATAAATACGTGGCATATTTTCCTTTTAAAAAATTCATTGTCATTATAGCTGATGTGGTTTTTTTTGTTTTTTGTTTTTTTTTTTTTTTACTGTATAAGCATATGCCAGCTCAGATTTAAAATAGAGTAGTAGATTAGTCCCCTAGTACAGTGCTGTTCTGAACAATTCTTTCACTGTCTCAAAAGTTTTACCAGGGTCTTATAGCAAAGGATTGAGAAAAGAGGTGAGAATTGCAGAGGCTAAGTATAGGTTGGAGGTGTCTTGTCCCCTCGGCAGAAAGGATAGTTCTTGTCACTAACCTGTGTACAGGGGCTGAATGGCCAGGGACAATAGGTGTTTTGTCCATGGGCCTGCTAGCTATTTCCTTGGGTCCATCTGGAGTGGAAGGTACTGCGAGAAACAGGAATCAGGCTGCAGAGAGTCCAGTCTTTAATTCCCACCCACAGGAGAGGAAGGATTGGGCCAGTCTCCAGCAGATTGTGGGCCCCTCCGCTTGTGTTCCTGTGGATATGGCACTGACGAGTTCCTACCCTTTCAGACTGTACTAAAGGATTTACGATCTGTGAAAGATTTCCTGGATACATGAGAGGAAACCAGTGAGAAGAGGCAGGGCTGAGTTCTTTATATCACTCTACTCCTGGAGGCTCCATCTTCTCTGTAAGACATGATGACTGATGTGCCAATGGTAGAGTTGCTGAGAGGATTCTATTTGAATAAGATAAAGCCATGAAAGAAGCTTAGCACTGTGCTCAGCAATATTGGGCTCCTTCTCTTTTCTTTCCTACTTTCTTATTGCAAAACTCACTGTGTCTCACGTGAGCTTTAAGGTTGCAGACTCTTCTGGTTGGGGACCAAAGAGTGATGGATGAGTGATAGTAGCGTAAAGAAGTAGAGCTGCCACTTGAGACATTAACGTGCTTTAAGCAGAAACTGATCTTTTTGTTTTGTTTTGTTTATGGTTTTTGACGTGTTTCTGTTTTGGTCTGAATAGGAGGAGCCTGATCTGGTTAGTGCAATTTATGGCCGAGGGATAGCCTATGGAAAGAAGGGACTACATGTGAGTATGTAATGGCCACGACTGCCTCCATGCCTGCCTGCCCTGTCACGGCCAGGCTTCTGCCGGATCTGCTTTCTGCTCGTTAGCTCTGGTGGGGCGCGCATGAGGATGGGCAAGGGGAGGTTGCCCAGGTCAAAGGGCTAGTGATTGGCGGACAAGGGTTTCTGCCCGGATCTCCTGAAGTCAGTGTCGATGGACGGAATGTAGACCTGACAGGTGCTGAGAAGCCCTCACTGTAAATGTAAGAGTGGGCACTGCCGGTGCAGCGGGAGGTGAAACTGAGTTCTCACAACCATGCAGCTCAGTGAAAGAACACAAGGTTTTTTTAGTGTGTAAAATTTATTTTCATTTGCTATATTGTATGCTTTTTTGCAGGTAGGTGCAATATCTCTGTAGTTATAGCCAAATTACTTCCTTATTTCTCTGAGGAAGACAGGAAGAAGTATATTTAAGTATATTTTATGTAAACAAAGCTCCCATGGGATAAAAACACTTTCTGGAGATCACATAGTAAACTTTAAGATGTACTATGATGCAGAGTACCGGATTTTTTTGTCTAGACCAGTGGTGGTGAACCTTTTAGAGCTTTCAGCGATAACAAATAACCCACTGTGGCATGCATGCCATAGGTTCACCATCACTGCTCTAGACCATTATACTCAAACCTTTTCTATTGTCTTACTACATATTAAAAGTATTCATATGGAATTGTGCTTTGAGGGCAAAATATCACTCCTGTAACTTTTACATTAAAAATACTAACATCTTTAACATTGTTAGTAAATATTTTAATTAAGTGTATCAAAACATTAAAGTTATAAAGCTATTGTATGACGCTGGTGCTGGCCCCATGGAAGAACTTGACATAGTATTTGTATGGTCCTGAGATCCAGAGGACTGAGGACTCAGCAGTGCGGTGATGGAGGTGCTCAGGGTGAAAGCAGCAGTGCCCTCGTGAGTCAGCAGAGGACTAGGGTGATGCTGCCCTAGTAAACTTCAGACAAGCTGCTTCTGTCCAAGTCTTATGTTGTTTAATTTTACATCATGACATGTAACTGGCTTGTAGCTTTAATGAAAAGTTACACTTGTATTTTTTAATGTAAAAGCAACATGCAGATGTTAAGGAGAACTTCACTAGACCTGTGAAGGTATCAGTTGTAGGTTTATGGTCTTGATTGACACTTCGCCCACTTTTGTCCCCCAAAGCCACTGGTCAGCCTCATTGCACAGGCTGGTGTCCACATACTCATTCTTGAAACATGTTGACTCCGTGTTTAGATAGATCATGTTTAGTAAGATTCTGACACCTGTGGAACTTGGGATAGGCATCCATGTCCAATGTGCTAGTTTATTGAAGAGCGGAAGACTTGGGTAAGCTAAATAATTGTACTATCATGACTTACTGAGCTTGTCAGATCTTTTATGTGGAAACAAAGTTCATATTTATTTCTAAACAATTGGTTGTGTCATTAATACTACATTACTAGATATTTCAGAAGAGCTTTTCTACCTGGTTTCTATAAGTCTGTCTCACACTAAGTTAATACCTTTTCAAGGACATTAAGAATGCTGAGCTTGCTCTGTTCGAGCTGAGCCGAGTAATTACCTTGGAGCCAGACCGTCCAGAGGTATTTGAACAGCGAGCAGAAGTGAGTGCAGTTTTCTTCTTCCCTCTGTTGTCATTGGATTAGTTGAATCCAGATTTTTCTCCTATTATTTTGTCACTTGCAAATATGCCTGTTGTTTTCCTACATAGGTACTTAGTGGCTTTTAGCATGATTAAAAGTTACTAGAAAAACTATAAACTGAGTGATGCTCCTGATCAACATGTAAAAATAATATTTAGTATTAAAATATGAAGTTACAATGGTTACTATTTCTGTCAATATTCATTAAAAATATACCACACATGAGCCATATTTGGCTCATGCCTGTAATTTGAGCCACTGAGGAAGCTGTAGCAGGAAGATCGTAAGTTAAAGATCAGTCTGAACAACTTAGCAAGACCTCGTGTTAAAATTTAAGAGGTAAAGTAAAAAGTGTGGGGATGTAGCTCAGTGGTAGAGCACTTATCTAGCATGGTTAAATTCAAGTGTGTAGCCCTTGGAAATACTTGTTCTATAGTGTATGTGTATGTGTGTGTGTGTGTGTGTGTGTGTGTGTGTGCACGCGCGCACATGCACACATTTGTGTGTAATTCTCAGGAGAAGGGCCTGTCTGTGTAGATGCATAGAGCAGGTAAGGGACTATAAGAAGATGTTATAGGAATTGTAAGTGTGTGTATGCTTGTACATACTCCTTACAAGATGAACCTGTTCACAGAGATGCCTAAGGCAGGGCTGTAAACTGACCTTAGAAGATATGAACAGGTGGAGGTTAGAGGTCACATTGTACAGGTGTCTGGAACGTTGTCAGTGGGCTGAGGAGGAGCTTTTGCAGAAGTGAGGTGGCAAGTGTGCCCAGTCTGCTGGCAGGGTGACATAGGAGCTGATCAAGTCCCAGCTCAGGGACAATGGGAAGAGAGTGTTTAAGCAAAGAAAAGAGAGTTCCATGTTGCTCCTGTTGTGTATTTGAATCTGTGTGTTCTTTTTACTGTTTCCTAAAATTAATGGTGAACTATTCAGGGTTTGTGTGTGTTACTGTATTAGATCTGAATGGAACCTAACCTTTAATTATCTGATATACTACTCGTAGTTAAACTAAATAAAAAATTACTTTTTTCTCTTTTGGAGAGAAAACTGGCAAGTAAAGGAGCACTAAATATTCAGTCATTTAAAAACTGTATCTGTAACGGAATGTGGTGGTGCACACCTGTAATCCCAGCTACTCCCAAGGCAGGAAGATCAAGAGTTGAAGGCCAGGCTGGGCAACACACTAAGACCCCTGTTTCAAAACAACAAAAAGACTGTATTTATGATGTTTTTGTTCTCAAAATTATAGTTCAGTCTTTTAAAGTGGATTTATGTTTTGTTGGGAATTTGGGTTTTCGAATAAGATCCTCAATTAGTGATGTAATTCCTTACTTCTTGTCTATGTTAAACTATAGCCCCAGGGCTGGATGACCACAGTCCTGTCACCACTGCAGAAGATTCTTGTGGGTACAGTGGTTGTCTGGTGGTCAGTGTGGGGACATCTGCTGTGTACAGCCATCAAGTGACTCTCACTGTTACTCTGGTGTTGCATTAAATTGTTTTGATAAATTGTGAATTTAATTCACTGTACTTATGTGCAGTTTAATGGGTTTTTAAAATTTGCACATCTAATAAAAAGCTAATTGTCATGAAAAATAATATTGATAACTAGAGCAATAGTTTTTGTTTATCTTAAAGTTATATAGTAATAGTCTTATGGCATTATTGGGGAAAATGATTTTCATAGCTATATCATAGCATACCATCTAATGTGAAAATTATTTTGTGAGTCATTTTTACTTTCATACTTTGAGATAATTTATATTTGATGAAAATAATTTATCTTTTTAAGTTACATGTCGGTGTACATATTGATTAGAGTGATAAGCTGTAATAATTCAATTGTGTACCAAAGGATTAATAAACCAAGTAGGATGTTTTTCCTTCCAAGCCCACCCGGGAATGTGTTTTCTCAGGAACATATCCCATGTCCTCTTTTGGAGCTGTCACCCTTACCACAGGTGGGGGACTAGCCAGCCCTAGTGTCCTCCCCTGATGGTTTGAGCTCCTGCCAAGAAAGGGACTGGTTAGGAAACATGGATAGAAGTGTACCCTAGAAAGAAATTCGGCTCTGAGGATGTTTGTTCAGGATAAAGTATGTGGGCTGGGTTTTATGAGAATTAATGCCCATCTGGGGTTTTCCTGTGTCTTTTCGGCTACTTTCATATCTTGCGCTGTCTCTGTATTGTCACGTTTCTTGAACACTTCCCCGGACAGGTTTGCCGATACTGTTCTTCCTGCACTGTAGTATGGCTGAGAAGTTAGGGTCTGACAGAGTACCTGAGATGCTAGAAATTGTCATTCAGCTCTTACTCCCACAGAAGAGAGACCATCGAGGCCTGTAATCTGTGTCATTTGTCTGAATGGTTCAAAGTTATGTAGATTAATTTTGACATCTTTATACATGTACGGCAAATTGTGACTTGAAAGGTACATATAGGTCAAGGGAAAAAGGTCCTGTTTACAGAAGAGCAACATCGATATATCCAAGTGGGAATAGTGTAAAGCAGCAGCTACAGCCATAGAGCCCCTTAGTACTCCCCCCACACTGGACAGAGGTTAGTGGCAGGCACCCTGGCATGGGGACTGTGAGCTCTACCCTGAGGCCTAAGGCCATGATCACAGCACTGAGAGCCCAGTTGTAAACAGTGTGTGGCGAAGTGGCTCTGAAGATCAGAGTGGGCAGTGTTAGGGTGATCATTTGGGCTTTTCCTGATAACATGTTTTGGATTTCTAGATTCTGTCTCCTCTGGGGAGAATTAATGAGGCAGTGAATGATCTCACTAAAGCTATTCAGCTTCAGCCGTCTGCACGGCTATACCGACACCGGGGGACCCTGCACTTCATATCCGAGGTGAGCTGCTTTACCAGACATCCCCTTCCTGATGGTAAACATCTCACTTTTCACTGAATCTTTGAAAGCAGCTCTTTAATGGCATTGGGTTCCAGCTGTTTGGTAACATGTCTGCACAACACGACAACTATGAAGGCATTTTCGTTAATGAAATTAATTCTAGTAGAGAATATTAAGTGCAGAAATCACAGTTTCTTCTTTGAGCTATCAGAGTAACAAAGTCTGGACTGATACAAAAGGGTATAAGGTGTACTTTACCTCTTGCAAGTGTGGCATAGGGGCTGGCGTGTAGGCTTCCTGCAATCCATCATGTAGAGGGGGAGTTAGGGTTTGTCTGGGTCTCTCAGTGCAGAACCAGAATCAGGACCAGGACCTGGACTGGGTGGCTTTCAGACTCTGGCCTCTCTAGAAGTGATCCAAAGCCAGCAAGAGGGTCTTATTGTTGCTAGGGTACCTAATTGTCGCAATTATTTTTGTGGGTTTGTGGTACTTTTTACCCCTCAGTACTAGGGAAGGAACCCAGGGGTGTTCTATCACTGAACTATATTCCAGCCCTTTTCATTTTTATTTTGAGACAAGGTTTTGCTAAGAAGTATCCAGTATGATAAGATGTTTCTCTTAACAGATTATCACTTTAATAATACATGAAATATTCTTCATATAGTTGAGACAAAGGCTTTCATTAAGACTCTGAAAATCAGCTTCTAACAAGTACTGTAAGCTTTCAGCTAATATTTATGACCATGAAATGTTTTCTTTAAAGCTAAAAAAAAAAAAGGTACAGCGTAAATTAATGTTTTTTTCTCTTGATCAGAAGCAAGAAATGTTCCACTTCTGTCCTTCCTTCTCTTTGCAGGACTATGCCACAGCACATGAGGACTTCCAGCAGTCCTTAGAGATGAACAGAAACCAGCCCACGGCCATGTTGTACAAAGGCCTGACCTTTTTCCACAGAGGACTTCTCAAGGTGAAGGTGTCCTGCTGCGTATGTGCACTCTGCATGGTCTGCTTTGCAGGGGAAGTTAGGGGTTTAGCTCGTTATGTTTTAAAATGATATCTTGTATATTGTCTTTTAGAAAGCAGTCTGAAATGTTTATTGAGCTCCTACTACTTGCCAGTTCTTGGAGACAGGCACAAAAGGGAAAGATAAGAGGTTAATAAGGGAGAATTTAAATGTTCACTTCAAAGGGCAGAGCTTGCAGAGTTCAGGTAGGTCCTGGAGAGGGGCCCTCCAGGCAGAGCAGGCCGTGAGTGACGGTTCAGGAAAGTGAGAATGCGGCTGGTGTGCAGAATGGGTGTGTAGGTGTGACTTGGATGTGGGGCTAGGTGGTGGGTGAGAGCTAGTCCTTAGTCTGAAGTACAATGCTGAGCATTTTAACTCAAGTTTGTGAGCTCAGGGGAGCTGAGCCATGGATGTGGGCCCCAGCTGAACCCCAGTTGAGACCAAGTCTGCACTTTAGGAAATGGATTGGTGTAGTGGTAGGGCAAGGATGGCAGAAAGACTGACCAGGAGACACTGACCGTGTCCTGGCCATGCAGGGGGAGACCTGACCAAGCTGCTGAGGGGCCACAGGAACAAGAGGCAAACAGTGCCAAGACTGGTGGTATGACTGGACAAGAGCCACAGGGTGTTCAGGAGGTGGAGGTGGGGAAGCAAGAGTGCTGCCCAAGTGTACAGGAAGCAAAGGTTCCTTCCTCCCACCCCGTGTTCCCACTGTGTGTTGAGACCATACCATGCAGTAAGTTGTGCCAGGAGCCAGGGCCAGGGAAGCCACCTCATGCCAGTGGCCTAGTACAGGGCACAGCAAGTCTGAGGAGAGGCAGACTGGGCCACAAGGGCCTTCTCAGCTGGGAAACAAGTCATTCTTCCCAAGAGACAAGGACATCTTCACAGAGAAGGTGGCCTCGGCCAGAATGTGGTGCCTCGAAGAATGTTGGCAGCCCTGGAGTGTAGTGCCACAAAAATCATGCATTTCATCGCAAAAGTAGTTTTGAGGACTTTAAGGATCTAATATACACAGCCTTGTGTCTGCGGGTTTCATATCCTCCACTCCAGACAACTGGATTGAAAACATTCAGAAGAAAAATCATCTGTACTGAACATGTGCAGACTTCTTTACTTATCATTCCCTAAGCAGTAAAATATGACGTCTATTTCCATAGCATATACATTGTATTAGCTGTGGTAAGTCATCTAGAGAAGACAAAGTACACTGGTGGTATGTGTGGATTATACACAGATACTGCACCATTTTACCTAAGAGACTTGAGAATCTGTGGATTTTGGTATCTGAGGGGGTTCTTCACCAATCCCCTGTGATAGCAGGCCTGACTGTGTATGTCCTGGGGGGATTGGTGGAGAGTTACCCTGTGTAGAGGCCAGTGTCGGTGCTCAGAGCTGAGGACAGTGCCTGTCTGTCAAGATACCAAGAAGTGTTAGTGGGGTGAATGGACCTCAGGGACAGAGCCTTGAACTTGGAAAGTTTGGTGTGAGCTCTCCCTTGAATCTCACTAAGTGCACTGCTGGACAAGTTACTCGAGCTCTTTCATCTTCTACATCCATAAAGTAGCCATGGTCCTACTGTCTGCCTCTTGAAGTCACTGTCAACTGAACAAAATACTGTACATGAAAAATACTTAGTAAGCTTTAAACAGGCATAACATATTATTACAGATGATTTTACCGGTGAAATTTAATCTATGTTTTATAGATTCTAAAAAATAACCCTCTCCCACTAAAAGCCAAACCAGAGAATCTTGCAAATTCTGTTTCATGTGCCTCACATGCAAGTTTGTAAAAGGTAGAGAAGTACAGACTGTGCCCTGGACTCAGGCTGGTGGCCTTGGGTTTGGAGAGCAGTTTCTTGCCCAGGATGCCTCTGAGTGGCTGCCAGAGGAGCTTCGTCTGCACTCCATTCCTCTCATCTTGTCTCGCTGACAGCTTTTGTGAAAAAATCGGAACCACAGCACTTTGCTTAGCCTATCCCTTGAGTAGCTAGTAGAGGAAGAAGAAAATTTAAAGCCCCCAAAATGCTATCCTGTTAATACTAAGAGTACTTTTAAAACTAAACAAATGGTCCCACACTTGCCTTTGTTGCTATGAATCAGGTGTAGGAACAGGCATAATCTTTGGGTTGTTTGGAAGTGAAATTTTTAAGAAGAGCTTTAATTACACATCAGACAAGGACAAAAATTCAATTTGGTTTATTCCAGATCCTTACAATGAGAACCTAGGAATAATGCTTTGTGGTCTAAGGGGACCAGTCTTTACAACTTACTGGGTCCACTTGCCTCTGTCCATGCTTGTAAGCACCACAGCCACAGAGCAGCATGTGACAAGTGTCCATGCTTGTGCAGCTGTACTGTCTGAGAAGGTCACCATGGTCATGTACCTGCTCCTGCTCCCCGAACATCCCCAGGAAGCATACAAGAAGTCAAGATGTCCCCATTACATAGATTAGAACATAGAATCAGTGATCTTAGTGAATGAACTTGGTCCACATGTCTGTTTCTCTTGTTAACCAGAGAAGACAGTGTTAAATGGACCAGTGAGTTTGAGCTCTCTTTATATCTTAACGTTGGTCTGTTTAGGCCAACAACAATTTAGAAATTAATTAGGCATATAATTTCTTACTTTCTATGATAAATTAGGAGCATATAAGGCAATGTTACATTTCAAATGTCACAGCTGTCCTGCTCAGTTGATGTATTGGGTGTTTGGATCTTCCCAGGGAAGCAGCAGCCCACACTTTCCTGTTGAGCTGCATCTCTTTTATCTGTGTGGTGGGAGATTTCAGACTCGCTTCCTGTGAGCGCCCATTCCATGAGACCCCACTCTGATCTGCCACGCGTGCTCTCTCAGCCTCCGTGAGCACAGTGACGACTGCCCATCACCTGGAGAGGACGTGGTGATACAGAGTGGTAAAGGTCACACTCATCAAACAGATGAATTCAGAATAGTTCATGCATTGAGAGACTGATTCGTTTGAACATAGTTTCTTTGTTCCTGATGGCTTAAAATCTTGATTCTGCTATGTCCCCTCTTTGGCAGAATGAGGTAGAGAGCTGTGCAGTGATTAGACAGGAACCCTGAAACCAAAGACTCTTAAAAGCTGAAGAGAGATCAGACTTGAAGAACGGTGGCGTCCAAGCATGCTGTAAGTGCAGTGGGCAGCAGAACCCTCCTGGGCATCTCCACCCAGATGTCCACACACTGCAGACGTAACATGCCACCCCTGGCCCCAAGCTCTCCTTTTTCCTGTTCTCCTTGTGTTGGTAGTGAGTGCCACCTACCTAGGCTCTTCAGCTTGAAAGCTTCCCATCTGCCCCTCCCTCCTTGCCCCCAGCCCCCAGAGTCTGTCTCTTTCCCTTCTAGAATGTCCTCTGAGTTTGACCCTTCTTTTCTCTCCCCACACTCTCAATTTGAGCTTTCATTATTTCTTGCCTGGATGCCACAGCAGCCTCCACACTGGCTCTCTTTCCCTGCTCTTCCTTCCCTGCAACCCTCTCTATTGTAGTCACCATCTTTCCCAGAGAGATGGCCTGCCCTAGGCTGCACCAGCCAGTCCTTGCTGGGCAGGTCCCACTGGCTCTACACACTATTGGCCTCCTCTCTCCTTGCCCTCCACACTCCCCAATGTGCCCTGCATTCCTACATACCTGACCCCACCTGCCCCCAAAGCACTCACCCCTGGCAGGATGCCCCTTTCCAGACTGCTTGTTGGATTCTGAGACCTACTTTGCTGTCATGTCCTCCCAAAGCCTGTTCTGGTGTCCCCAGGCACAGTTACTGGCTTCTTCCTTCTCTTTATCCCCAGAGGCTGGCTCCAGTCTCTGTTGTAGCTCTTATTCTTTATGCGAATAACATGGTTACATAATTAGCTTTCTAACTAGACTGTGTGTTCTCAGATGACAGAGATAATGATTTGCTCATCTTTGTATCCCCTGTGCCCTGCACTGTCTCTGGTACATAGTAGGCGCTCAATACATGTTTGTTGAATGAGAGTGTAGTGTTAGAAATCCTAAAAGATCAAGGCTGCACTGTGGCAGGAAGCCAAATTAAGAGCAGTCTTTGGTTTCTTCGGTGTTAATATGTGTCCGTTCCTCACAGTAGCCTTCATTTGGAGCATCCAGAGGTCTTGCTGCCCTAGTCTCTGTAGTCAAATGGAAGCTAGTTTCTCTTCCCATCTCCCAGAGAAAATCTAGCAGGGAACAAATGCTTTTTGAAAGAGGATTGTGATGCTTTTGCAAAACTGTTTTGAGCCTACAGATCATCAAATATTTATTGGGTGCCTACCATGTGCAAGGCATGTGACATCTTCAGTAGCTGTCTCCCACCAACAATTGCATCAAGCGTGGCATTATCTAAAGTCTTTCTCATTAAGGCTACTGCATTTCATGATACTTTGTAGCAGTTAACTTTAGTAGGGTACATCTTGTCCTAGGAAAAATATGAGGGGTCGTCTTAATATTTTATGACATTAATGCTGAAGCCATTAATGGTGGGAAGTGCCATCAGTTTCAAGTTAAGCCTAGGGTGTTTATCATAAAACAGAAGGACACTGTGTTTTCAGTTCCCACAGACAGGGGGCGTCAGGCAGCAGTGTGTGCACAAACATTTCCAGGGCTCCCAGGGGACAGTGCCCACATGGCCTCTCACTTCCTCAGCCAAACGTCGGCGGCTGTGCATACAGAAGCTAAGCCCAGCACCCCAGCCTTAGAATATTGATTTTATTTTTGTTTTACTGTTTCTTTTTCCTTATAGGTCATGGGAATCCCTTCGATAGCCAGTCTCAGGTCTTTTTGCTTCTTTTATGCCCATTTTTTGGTCTGTTTTGTTGATTCAGTTTTAAATGCTGCTAGTTGTGATCATTTTGAATTATCTCACAAAGCTATAGTTTCGTTTTGGTCCACTGGACCTTTCTTAATTAAGGAAATGATATTCATATGCAAGTAATGTCATTATTACATGGAGTCCTAATGAATTAGATAAAATTCAAAGCTGTTTTCTTATTTTAAAGTGCAGAAACTTAAGGCTGTTTGTCATCATCATGCATTTGAGGTTTCATGTAAAAGAATTTTGTCAGGGACCATGCACAATATGTATTTAAATCTTTTAGCAATTCAAGTGAACCTCAATTTTAAGAGTTATGTCAATGAAATAATTTTCTATATACTTTTTACAGGAAGCTATTGAGTCCTTCAAAGAAGCTTTGAAGCAGAAAGTTGATTTTATTGATGCTTATAAAAGCCTGGGGCAGGCCTATAGGTAAGTGGTAGGGCATGAGAGGGACAGTGAAGAGGTGAAAGACACACAGTAGTGGTATTGTAAAAGACATTGCATTTCCTAACCAAAGAGATAGTTGCTTTGAGTTGTGCAGTCATTGACACTGACTTTTCAAAAATAAGAAGAATCATATCAGATGTAGGCCTCAGTGCATAGCACCATCTCTTAAACAGTCTCAGTGTGTGCGTTGCCTGGAGGACACCCATCCTCAAGGGTTGCCATTTTGAGACTTGAGCCAACCATCAGAGGCTGTTGGGCTGTAGATGCTGCTGCCTTCAGCATGAAGGATGGGAGAGCCTTGGTTATAATGTACTTATAAGGCATGAAAAGCTGTGAGTAGAGCCTGGCTTCCTGGCTCTGTGTATTGCCCTCATGAATAAAACCTTTTGACTTAAAAACCATTATATTCAGGGCTGGGGATGTGCCTCAGTGGTAGAGCTCTTGCTTTGCATGTTTAAGGTCCGGGGTTCGATCCCCAGCACTACCAAAAAAAAAAAACTCCAAAAAACCACAAAAAACCCACAAAAGAGAAACAGCAAAAAAACTATTACACTCTTACTGGGTATGGTGGCTCACATTTGTAATTGCAGTACTTGGCAGGCTGAGGTAGGAGGATCACAAATTTGAAGACAGCCCGGCCTAGATAGCAAGTGCAAGACCAGCCTGGACTACATAGTGAGACCTTGTCTTAAAAACTAAACAAAAGGAAAAAGAAGTCACCCTCTGATGAAAAAGGAGGTGTCATGATAGGGTAGAGAGGAGTTCACCAATTAGGAGTCAAGAGCCTTATTCGGGCTGCCCTACTCCACAGCACAGCCCTAACTGCCCTGAGCTTCAGGTGTCCCACAGGTAAGAGTCATGCGGGGGTAACAGAAATCCCCTACCAGGTACCTCATCCAAGGAATGGTACATTGAAGAGGTTATTTATCTAATGTAGTTTGAGCAACTATCCTGCACTAACTTAGATTGCTTGGATTTGGGGGGATAGTTAGGGGATGATATTTATCCTTCCTATTCACAGAATTCTTGGGATATACAGTGGAAACAGATTGGAATGTGCCTGTAAAGTGCTATTTAAATTTAAGCAGACATTTTTAAAAAAATACTTATTACTTATTTAAAAAATTGGTTGCAAGAATCTAGAAAAGAAACCCAGTAATAGAAATTCTCAGATACCTGATTCAAGGAGGCTAACTATCAGTTAACTAACAGTCCCTGCTTCTGCATTAAGTAACCCTTAACAGCCCAAAGAACCTTAAAGTGCAATCATCTCTGAGGTAAGTCAGAAAAGGGACTGTTTTGGAAGCTATTTTTATTCTTTCTAAAAATTTTAATAAGTAAAAGACTGGTTAGTAACAACCATTTCCATTCTGGAATGATAATAATTCTAAAACACTTTTTTTCAAAATTTCAAATTATATAATGATTTACTTGATGTTAAGTGAAGTAACTCAGGTGACCAAAAATACAAAATTTTAAGCCTATGAATTTGATTAAATGATGAGGCTGTGATTATATTGTATATGCTTTTTTCCAAAAAGGAAAGTTTTTTTTATCCATATACTGAAATGTACAGGGTTTTTTAAGGCTTTGAGCTCGTGAATTGTGGGGAGGAATTTGAATCAGCATTTGCTTTTGGAAAGTAGTAAATAGCAAGCTGGTAGCTACCCTTGCTGAGTGTGATTTGTTAGAGGTTGTGCAGCTATAGAGTGCTATGGTAACAAAGGAAACACACCCCTTGAGGTATCTGCTCACACCTGGGACCATTGTGCTGTGGGTAGCTTGTTCTCTGTAATGTCCACACTGTGTGCTTGTCACTGTCTAAACACCTAGAGAACTGGGCAACTTTGAAGCAGCCACCGAGAGCTTCCAGAAGGCACTGCTGCTCAACCAGAACCACGTGCAGACGCTCCAGCTCCGGGGGATGATGCTGTATCACCACGGCAGCTTGCCGGAGGCCCTGAAGAACTTCAAGGTGAGCCTCAGAGCAGTTCTTGTTCTTGTTCTTGTTCTTCATTGTTGAGGAAAGTGGCTAGAGAAGGGGCCAGGAATAGTGCGTGCACCTCCACAGAAGGAGAGGTCATTGCCTTGTCCTGTAGCTCACAGAGCACCTGTGTGGTATGACCCGACGTGGAGGAGAACTTCCAGTTCCAAATGAGAGTAAGTACAGCAAAGTTCTCTCAAGCTTCAGTGGTTCTAATGCAGTCTCTGTCCTTCCATGCCTTAGAGGTGCCTGCAGCTGGAGCCGTACAACGAGGTGTGCCAGTACATGAAAGGGCTCAGCCACGTTGCGATGGGGCAGTTCTACGAAGGGATAAAAGCGCAAACCAAAGTGATGCTTAATGACCCTCTCCCTGGCCAGAAGGCCAGCCCAGAGTACCTTAAGGTGAAATATCTCCGAGGTGAGTCAGAAGACAGCAGAAGTGTTGCATTTTCATGCTCAGGCTGAAAAAGTTACATCACTTGACACTTAAGCTCCGTGTGAGGCTGGGGATGTAACGGAGCTGGTGGCTTGTTGCAGCCAACCTTCCAGGGTGGTGTGAGGACTGGGTAGGCTTCGTGTCTCAGAAAGACCCACCTGTTGTTCTCCCTACCCTTCCTGCACTTTTTCTTTCTAAAGTTCAAATAAATTGTACCTGAGTGAAAAACATACTGTGAACTAAATGTGACTCTCATTTAGAATAGTCATGCCTCCTTACCTCTCCTCCAAAGACGCAGAGGGCCAGGGAAGTAACCTTCTGTGAGGTTTCACTGTTAGGTGTGAGTCATTGAATTTTCATCTCTTCCTACCAGAATTCCCATATATTGTAGAGAAATTAAGTTTGGGGAGGAAGGAAGCGAGTCTTTCCTATACTTTCATTAATCACGGTCTTAGCTTTTTTTTATGCCATCTGTAAAGGGATTCTGGGGGCTAGGGGTGTAGCACAGTTAGAGTATATGTGTAGCATACATGAAGCCCTGGGTTTGTTCTCCAGCACCACATATAAAATATGTTTTATGGATGAACCTATATAAACTTTATTATCATTTTATTTAATTCAATATATCTAAAATTTAGTTCAACATATTATTAATATATTTTTTGTTCTGTTTTGTTTTGTTTTGGGGACAGAGTCTCACTATATACCTCAGACTGGCTTTGAACTCATTGTGTAGCCCAGGCTGGCCTTGAACTCGCAGTGGTCCTCCTGCCTCTCAGCCCCCCAAGTGCTGGGATTACAGGCACTACCATTCCCAGCTTTTTAAAAAACATATTATTAATACAAAAACACTATTCATTATATTATTTTTTGTGCTTAGCCTTTAAAATATGGTATATATTTTATACTTTTAGACTATCTCAATTTGGATGCTCAGTTTTCATTAGAAATACTTGATCTGAATTTAGATTTGATAAGATTTGTAGTTAAAAAAGTAGATTCATACCTGGGCATAATAGTGGGTGCCTTAACCACAGCATTCTTGGAGACAGAAGAGAATTAGGCTCACATTTTCAAGCCCAGCCTGGGCAACTTAGTGATTTAGTGAGACGCTGTCTTCAAATAAAAAAGTCAAAATGGGCTTGGGTTGTAGCTCAGTGCAAAGGCTGTGGGTTCAATCCCAAGTACTGGAAAAGAAATTATATATGCAGGGCCGAGGGTATAGCTCAGTGGCATGGCACCTGCCTGGCAAGCATGAGGTCGTGAGTTCGATTCCTAGTTCAAAAAAAAAGAAAGAAATTGTATATTCAGGTTGTTCTCAACATACTGAAGTTTTCTAATAATTCAGTCAAGGATCAGTTAAGTAATTCAAACTAAGTAGAATATAAATTTCAGTCTTTTAGGCACTTTAGCCTCATTTTAAGTATTCAGTAGCCAGGTGGCATGGGCTGCCTACTGGACAGTGCTGTTCTTTATCTTCATTTCCTGGATTAGTGGAGCTTGGACTTGTGCATTATAGATTGAAAGGGCAGGGACTCGGTATCTTGTTTTTTCTTGCACTGCTTCTGTAGCAATGAGAGCCATTAGTGAAATTGTATACCCAATTAATCTGCCTATTGGTTGACAGAGTCCCAGGCTCTGACACTGAACTTTGGTTCTCAGTTTCTGAAGTTAGGAAGGAAAAAAGAGATCAGCTCTTCGGTGTTGTTCATGGGAAGGTGGTAACATTTAACCAGAGTAGACTCAGATTGACTGAGACTTGACCGCTGTGCCTCAAGTCTGCCTCACATTGTAATATGATAATACCATAGTGACTTATTAAAATTTAGGATTTCCTTTTAGAATGGTTGAAATTAAGTAACAGCTTGCTACAAAGCAGCCATAAGAAGTGTTTCTGCAGCAGTGTTTGGGTGCGTCAGTTCTGCTGTCCTTTCCTGCCTGCAGAGTATTCTCGGTATCTCCACGCACACTTGGATACCCCACTCACGGAGTATAATGTGGACGTGGATCTGCCAGGAAGCTTCAAGGATCACTGGGCCAAAAATCTGCCTTTCCTCATAGATGACTATGAGGAGCAGCCCGGCTTGCAGCCCCACATAAAGTAAGTTTTTGGACAAGGAGTACTCTCTTCTTTTTCAAAACTGAGCTATGATTTCATCCTGATGTTTTCTGATCAATAAATAACTTGGTTTAATTTCTTTTTGGAATACATATGTCTTCAACTAGTTCTTTTAGACTTGCAAAGAATGATTACAAAACACAGTGAATGTTGGTTTTAAAAGCCTATTACAATAAAACACATGCCATTAATCCCCCTTCACTTAGAACACACTTATCACATCTTTCTTAATGTCCTCTTTAGTGAATGTATTTACAAGATGTGATTTTAAAAAATGGTGAATGCTGCTGCCAAGTACCATCCAGTAAAAAGGCGGGCTCATAAAAACATGACAGAGTGTCCTCGTCTGTCTTACTCACTGGATCTGCACTGTGCACCTGTAGGCTCTTCCCAAGGTCAAAATGATCATGAATGTAAACTCTTTGAATCAATTCAGACAATAGAGGCAGCCAGGACAGTGCAACTAAAGACACTTGGGAAAGAGGACTTCTTGAACTGCTTCAGAAAGTGGCAAGAATGGTGGGATAGGTTCAAAGCAAGGAGTATTTTGAGGGAGGCTAATCGCAATTTGTCTTTCACTGTAATAAGTTTTTAAAATTTGTGTATACAGCATATTTTTCAGTCACACCTCATACTTTATCTTTTCTTCTAGCCTGACCTTTCCTGCTAAAGAACAGCCTTCATACTTCACATGTGCTGAAAGCAGTCTTTGATATGCGTAACTCTTTTGCTGTGTTCCTTTTAAAACATTAACATTTGGAAAGTTTAAAATTCCACTGCTGGGTAGCTACTACTACTCTAAGACAGATTGACTAAAGGGCTCTCTCATTGCAAAACAGTCAGATCCAGAATAGAAATTAATTCCTGGGAAACTAACAGTACCGTAAAACTGAGAAATCTCTATAAAGTTTGACCTTCCCTTTCTCTGAAAAGGAAAAAAAGGGAATAGGGAGGAGGGAAGAAGACTCCAAGTAGACTGCGGTGTGGTTAGCACACTTAGCGGAAAGGAAGCATCCTGGGGGTCAGTGCCTCCTTGGGCTGGAAGGACGGGCTTGCTGACGTGATCCCACATTGGAGACATTACCAGGATCTCCACGGAAGCAAGTGCAGATTCTTCCTTCCTAGGAGGAAAGCATTGCCAGCCTGGGCCACCCCAAGTATCCTGACAGATTAAGGCTGTGGGGATAAGAATCAGAAACCAAGATCATCACAGCGACACGTGACATAGAAATGACAACAGACACACCTGGAGGACTTCAGGTGTTAGAATGTTGGGATGCAAACGAAAAATAACTCAAAATGAAATGTTTAAAGAAATTATGAAGAAGCTGCAGATGTGCACAGATATGAGATGATGAGAAATGACCAGGTAGATTTTTTAAAAAGATAACCATATGTTACAGGAGTAGAAAATATAATCATTAAAATAAAGAATTTAATATATAGGCTAAATAGCAAGTTAGACACAGATGAGGATCTATGTGGTCATAAGATTTCCTGGTTATTTTCCCAGTGATGAAGTGAATTTTCTTCAGGGAAATTGGATTACCAAATGTCTGTTGTGGGGCCAGGGATATAGCTCAGTGACAGAGTGCCTGCCTGGCAAGTGCAAGGTCCTGAGTTCGATTTCCGGCTCAAAAAAATAAAATAAAATGTCTGTTATAAAAGTCCTTGTGTGCGTGATGTTTTTCCAGGGATGTCTTACATCAGAATTTTGAGAGTTACAAGCCTGAGGTTCAGGAGCTAATCTGTGTTGCTGATCGCTTGGGATCGCTGATGCAATATGAGACCCCGGGTTTCCTGCCAAACAAGAGAATACACCGAGGTATCCTAGAAACTGTCCTGACATGGAAATATGTTTGGTGTAAGAGCAGGGTGGTTAGACCACAGTGTGCTTCTAAAAAAATTATTCCTAGTGCTTATTCAAATCTCCAGAAGTCGAGACAGGAGCATATGGAATCACTCAGACTGAATTCTGAGAGAAGATTGTTGGGCTAGCTGGCTTTCTGCCGTCACTGTCGTGCAAACCTAGGGTATAAGTGGTCCAGTCCAGTAGCTGACCCAGGGAATCTTGAGTTCTCACTGCAGAAGTGAGGAAGAATTAGAACCTTGGCTGCTTTACCCAGCCACAGAGTTGCGGGGAAACACTTGGTGTGGATTTTAGTGGGACCTTTGTGACCAAGATACGCCTCGGTCCTGCCCTGTCACTAGTGCTACCGACTGTTTATATGGTGACTCCTGAGTGGTTCCTGAGACTCGGGGAAGCAGGTGCACATGCAGACTCCCTTCTCAGTGTTTCTCTTTTGTAGCCATGGGCCTGGCAGCACTGGAAGTCATGCAAGCTGTCCAGCGCACATGGACCAACTCAAAAGTCCGCATGAATGGAAAAACCCGTTTGATGCAGTGGAGGGACATGTTTGACATCGCAGTGAAGTGGAGAAGGTAACCAGTGCTTGCATGAAAATACTCTAGACATCCTGCTTTTGTCGGATGTGAGTCTTTTCTCACTAGCAGGTTTGAATCCCTTTTTGCTTACTAACACGAGGCCCTATAAGTTAGGTTTTTTTTCTCTGAAGTTTGCCAGAAGTTACTGCCATCTTTACTCTCTGAAATATACCAAAATCCTCCTCATGATCTATGAGGTAACTGTGTTGTATGTTTCCAAGCTGCCGGGTAGATGCAGGATTTTGGGAGCAACCTCTACAGGAGTGTCTGTTACCTGTGTTCCCTTAGAGTGAGGAGCACTCAGGCCCCTTTGCAGTGGGGGTGTGCCTGGCGGATGAACAGATATAGAGGGGGATGTCTTTGATGATACTCATTTGCTCTGCTAGTGAATGTTGGCTTACCTGATCCACCTGGAACATCTAGAATGTGCATCATATTTTTAAATGTCATAGACCAGCAGGTGCTTTACACTCACTTTCGTAAGACTTGTCCACTTCATATTTTGAATGTTCTGGTTGTGACTGCGTGTCATAAGGTCCAAGCTTTCATGTGCTCTGTTTCACAGGGTTGCTGACCCGGACCAGCCTGTGCTATGGCTGGACCAGATGCCAGCACAGAGTCTCAGCAGAGGTTTCAACAACCACATCAACTTAATAAGGTATGATCCTTTCATACATCTTCCCTGCCTTCCCTGAAGTGTTCTCCGCAGATGGACCTGAGGTTGAATGGCCTGTGGCTCCTTTCATGATGACCTCGTCAGGGAACATACGGTTTGCTGTACACTGCACTGCAGTGTACGGAGAGTGTACAGTGTACAGAGTCCTGCCACATCCCTTCCTACTGGTGCAGCTGCAGACAGAAGTACAGTGTCCCTCCACTCTTTCCAGCCTCCTCTCATCTTGCATAGCTGGAGGGCAGGCTGCCCAGCTTTGACCTAGGACAATGGTGGCAAAGCTATGGCATACATGCCACAGCAGGGTGTGTGTTATCATTGAAAGCTCTAAAAGGTTTGCTATCACTGGCCTGGGGTGTCCATCTCTAAGGAATTCTAAAACATCACAGAAAGTAGTTGGGTGGAGAATGTTCTGTTTACTGTAATACACCAGTATGTCTGTTGGGGTACAAGAAAACCTCCCCCGCTTCCCTCCCAGCACGCAAGGTGTTCAGAGAAGTAATACTGGCTGATCATCACAGTTCTCTGGGGCAAGTTGGGGGCCCTGAGCTTATGCTTGGTCTAGAAACTGTGTGGATTGGGCACATGGGCAAAATGTTTACTTCTTTCCCCTCTTTGTGTGCTTAGCCACCCACTAAATAAATGGTGAACACATGCTAAGGAATATCAGCTTCCAAGGGATCCATGTTATTAGCAGCATGTCTTTTAATGAATTGAATTTTAGGTGAAATTTAGAAATGTAGTACTTGTGTCATGTCTTAAATACTTCTTGTTCCAGAAACCTGAATCAAGAAAATGCTGTTCATATAACTGTAACATGTAATTTTGGGTTTTATTGGAAAAGTCATTTGTATGTTTTTTATTTTTACAAAATAAATTTTCTTTCCCCTTGCAACTTGTATCTTTCTCTTTCTCATAAGTAACTGTGACATTTATAGCGAGATTCAGTCCACTCTCTGTAACCGAGAGCCAGTATCCTTCAGTGCATTGGTGTGCTTTGTGGTGGTGCCAAAGCAGGGAGCACAGGCCCCTGGCTTCAGAAGGCACACGACCTGGCAGAGAGCAGCTGTCATGTGGAGTGTGAGGTAGTCTGTGCTGGCCTTACATGCACTCCTGGTCAAGCCTCTGAGTGATGCTGGAGGTGTCAAAGGAGCGTAGAGCAGAGGTTGATGAGACCCAGACCAGGAGGTTGATGAGACCCAGACGGGGCAAGTTTGCAAGGTTGGAACACTGACTCATTCCTTATGGCCAGTGACCAATGTGCAGTAGAGAGTGTTGGAAATTGAGGCTAGAAGGATACATGGAATCCCAAGTACAAGCAACTATATTCCATGCTGAGGAATTTTTTTCCTGAAGTTTATAGCGAGCCATCCAGGGATGAGAGGCAGAGAAGTGATATGGACAGATTGGTACATTTTGATGATCACTTTGGATGCAGATGAACAGATTTGCAGTGGGCTACGTTAGGGATGAGGGAAGAAGTTGAAAGCTGGGTGTGAGTACCAAAGGCTTGAGGGCTGTGTGCCAGCGCACTGGTGAGGAAGAAGAGATACTCAGGATAGTGGCAGGAGCTCGGTGGGGGTAGGGGCTTAGAGAGCATCGGGAAGGGTGCCTGACTCCATTCAGGCATGCAGTTATTTCGGTTGACCATACAGTACCAGGAGAGAAGGTGGACATGGAAAAGCGCTGTGAAGGGAGTGAGTTTCTGATTGACAGTCAAGGTCTTGAGACTTGGGATGCCTGTGGAGAACCAGAGAGTGATATCTGGGGGCAGTTGGATGCAGTAATTTTTTTCCAGATGCTACTGCCCATAAAGTTCTGGAAGACAGTTTAAAGAGAAGAAAAAGAAGATAGGAATGGGAGGGATATGAGATTTGGAGTGGGCAAAGGAAAGGAATATGGACGAGAGCAGGAGGGCATTGGCAGATACAGAGGAGGACCAAAGTGTGGCTGCAGTATCACCTAGGGGTGCTTTAGAGGCAGGTGGCATCAATGTCTGAGCTTGCTTCAAGCTCCAGAGGGTATTCTTTCTCACTGTGGTGCCTTCCTTACCAGGACAGCCCAGACAGCCCGCACGGTCTCCTGGGATGTGCTGTCTTCGTACTCAGGGACTCGTCCAGCCAACTTCTAGAGTCATCTTTGCTGCATTATTCTCATAGAAATTCTATTTCATTTTTAGTTAACTAAAATTAGGTGTGGCTTCAAACGTGTTCCTTTGTAAAGAGAAAAAAGATTGTATTTTCTTGTTTTTAATTAATTTTAATTAATTTTCTTGCCTTTAGGGGACAGGTGATTAACATGAGATATTTAGAATATTTTGAGAAAATACTTCACTTTATTAAAGATAGAATTCTTGTTTATCATGGGTAAGTCTTCATTTTTCTTTTTCATAGTAATTTCATAAATTTTACATTTGTTCCATCTGTGAAATGCTAAAAGTAAGCCCACTGACAAACTGAACAAACTAGATCAAATGTTTATGTATTGTTTAGAATTTTCAGCCTTTCACTGTCACTTACCGTCCTCCTTTGTCATGGCATCACAGAATCCCCAAACATCAACTGGAGTATCTTTAACCTAACCGTACTGTGGCATTTCCAGTCTCTCTCTTCCAATTTATCAGTTAGGGAGTTCAGTTTTCAGTGCTTACATGGCTCACTACATGTGACATTCAGGTAAAAACAAGCCTGATGCTTTCCTTAGAGAAGCTACAAGGAACCTCTGCCATGCAGACACTGCCCACCTGCTGCCCACTCTTTTGTGTCCTCTAGATGGGCTGCTGTCCCTCAGTTCTCAACTGGAGCCCAGAGCCTGCTAGGATTAAACCTTGCCCTTACTTAGAACTGTAGTTGCTCCACACCATTCAGAGTGCAGTCATCTCATGGAATCCATAGGGGATTAGCTTCTGGTCCCCCAGCAGAAGCCAAAGTCCTCTGCTCAGGTCTCTTCCATAAAATGGCGTGGTACTAGTGGTACCTCGATTCACGAATGCTTTTGTTTGCAAACAATTTGGTTTGCAAATAAAGCGTTTGGCAAGATTTTGTTTTTGTTTGTGAACTCTGTGTTGAGTGATGAACATGACCGTAACTATCCTTCTCACACGAACAAATGGCCATTGTTTTCTAGAATCATGGAACAAATTAAGTTCATGAACAGCTGTCAACCATGTTTGCATATAACCTTTGCTTTTCCTCCCACATGCTCTAAGTTATCCCTGGATTCTTTGTGACACCTAACATTATGTACCTGCTCTGTAAATAATTGTTGCATAGCACTGTTTGTCAGTTAATGACAAGGAAAAGTGTCTGTATAGGTCCTGTGTGGGTTTTTTTTGTTTTTGTTTTTGTTTGTTTTTTTTTGGTTTTTCTCCGGTACCAGGAACCGAACTCACGACCTTGCGCTTGACAGGCAGGCACTTTTGCTGCTGAGCTAAATCCCCAGCCCCTCAGGTCCTGTGTTTTTGATCCTGGGTCAGTTGAATCTGGGATGTAGACCCTGAGGATGCAGAGACCAACTGTACTGCGCTGCTCATAATCCGGGACAGTTCATTTAATTAAAGTTAATGTAACAGTTACACATTATAGTGATTATTGTATATTATCTGTTATCACATTTCCACATGAATCTCAGATGGCCTTTCCTACCTTCCCTCTCTTTTTAAGAGCTAATAACCCTAAAGGATTGTTAGAAGTCAGAGAAGCTCTGGAAAAGGTACACAAAGTGGAAGACCTTCTTCCAATTATGAAGGTAAATTTATCATCAAAATTATAGTTGGATTTTCAAGGGGAAACGTACCAACAGCACTTTTAAAAAAAAAGTCTTAATTGTTAAGTGAATGTTTATAACTGTGTTATGTGTTTTTAAATTCTTAAGTAATCCATAGTTACTTAAACACATTCTGAGTAATAACCAAAATAGAAAATAAAGCACTGGATCAGAATCAAACAGAGAAATTTACTTGTGAGGAAACCACTAATACAGAAAGCAGAAGAAATGTTAAAAATGCATACTTCTGAGCCAGGTTTAGTGGCAGCACACCTGTAATCTCAACTGCTCAGGAGGCTGAGGCAGGGGAATCCCAAGTTCAAGCTCAGCCTGGGCAGATTAGTGAGACCCTGTCTTATAATTTTAAAAAGGCTGAGGATATAGCTCAGTGCTCCCTGGCCTAACCCCCCAGTATCAGCCACCAAAACTAGAAACCAACAAAAATCAGAGACAACCCCCGCAGTTGAATTTGGTCTCTGGTCACAGTGAGTCCTTCCACTGAATAATCAGAAGACAGAATGTAAGATAGTTGTCTACAGGACCAGATAGTTAAACACTGAGAGATTCTTGAGAGAAAGAAGCATGAGGGGAGCCTCATTTCCACCCCAGTTTTCTGCCAAGAGTGGTCACTGGAGCTCTCACCAGGTGACTAGAGCCTGAGCAGAGCACAGGGAAAAGGAGGTTGTGCAGGTGGGGTCTGTAAGATCACTGACCATTCCAGCCATCTGTAAGGAGGGAGGACATCCCACCTCAGCATCCAGCTTTAGCCCAGGATTATAGATACGTTGGTATTTTACAAATTCACACAGAAGTCTGTAAAGCAAAGTGTTTGCACATTTAAAGTGGGTAATAAAATGTTCTGTGTCAGCAGCTTCCTCAAAATGCACAGTATGCTATTAATGAAGATCAAGTTAAACAGACCTCATCCCCTAGAGGCAGCTTGTTAGCCATTATTGGGGATCAGGAGAGCCTGGTTTGCATTCTGCCCTGTCACTCTGGCTGGTGCCCCAGGACCATGTTCTTTCTTTAAGATACATCCATACCAGGTTTCCCCTGTCTGTTTTGAGGCTTGAATGAGAATTGGTGTACATAAGCATCAGCACATGTCTTCTGAAAGCTGCCTTCTCCAAGGAAGCTGGCTCCTGCTTTTGTACCTACTGTGGTCCTAATGGTCCACACAGGGGTGCATGTGTTCAGTCTCCCAGTTCCAGCCTTGGGGTACCTCACCTGGCTTGCTGTCACACACAACCCTCCCTCCAGAGTCACAGGAGAAGCAGTGCCCCCTCCTGCTGTATTGTGGCTTCTCACTAGGCCCATCAGTCTTAAAAAAAGCTGGGGTACGATTGAGTAACCTGATTGGGAGATTTTCCTGGAATAATGATAAAACCTGTGGGCTGGCATTTCAGGGTTTTCACAGGTATTCTCCCGAGAGTCCAGTCACTGCTTGCCAAGGTGGATCCTGAGAAGCTCACACTGTGCTGCTAGTGGGCCATGCCACACTGGCTAGAGGGCTTTGAACTTTCTCTGCGGGATTTTGGATTGTAGAGCTCACGTTGGGTCCGAGGACAAGGAGAGGTATCCTCAGTCAGTGTGGGACAGAGCACATGGTCTCTTGCATGCGGTGACCTCCATGACCCCACTTAGATGTGCCTAAGCCAGGTCAGTGTTGCGTAGTAGCCTTAGAGTCTTGATGAATCAGACACTAGTAACATGGGTCTTCTTTTTCCCCGAAAGCAGTTTAATACCAAAACGAAGGACGGGTTCACCGTGAACACGAAAGTTCCCAGCCTCAAAGACCAAGGGAAGGAGTATGATGGGTTCACGATCACCATCACAGGGGACAAGTATGTGTGCTTGAGGGGTGTGGACCTGCAGCTAGAGGCAGCGTGGGAGGGGCATGTACTTGGTGCAGCCCTGGGTGGTACGGCCTGAAAGTGTCCAGGACCAGTGTACATGTACAGCTGTAGTAGACCTTCCAGCACCTACCTTTTCTATCTGCCTCTCCTGGACCTCGTAGCCTCAGCTGTTGAGCAGGGGTTGAGTGTCCCGGTGGACAGCCTTCTCCTGGAGGTTTGGAGGTCTTGGTGGGTGAGGCTTTGATAGTAAAATGAAAAACAGCTGAGAGAAGGCCATTAAAGGAGTTTTAAAGTGTAAGTTTTAATGTATGACAGGAGTAGTACAGTCTTAATGTAGAAAATTTTGAAGGTGAAGGAAGATAAGCAGAATTAACAGAATAAAAATTAAATCATTTAAAAGCTGAGATTATATTACATATATTGCTTTATAACCTATTTTCTACACTTACTATCATGTTATGATTGTCTTCCCCAGTCTGTCTTTCTCACTTTTTAAATTATTTCTTTATTTTGCAGCACTAGGGATTGAACCCATAGCCTTGTGTGTGCTAGACAAGTGCCCAATCATTTTCTCATAAGTATTTTTAGTAATTTCATAATACTCTATTTCATAAATGTAGATTTTCTCCTATTGATTTTTTTCTGGTGTGGTTATTTAGGGTGTTTCTCATTTTTTTACTTTATAAATTACACTGTGGTGACCTTTTTTTTTTTTTGGTACTGGGAATCAAACTCAGGACCTTGCGCTTGCAAAGCAGGCACTTGTGCCACTGAGCTATATCCCCGGCCCCGACCATCTTTATTAGCTATAGTTTTCTTTACGTCTGAAATCCAGTCTTTGTCTGGGAGCCTCCATATCCCTTAAGTTTTGGGTGGAGTTACCTTAAATGACACCCTGACTATGCTTGATGACATAGCTGCGGAAGCTCCAAACCCCTTAAGGTTTCTGCCAGCACACTGATAAAGCTGTGACACTCTTTCTGTGGTCCCTCTGCCTCCTAGGCTCTGCTTTTCCCAAAAGCTTTTACTCTCAAAGCACAAGAAACCACTTTTTCAAAGCCACCACTCCATATCAAACCTTAAGTAGCCTTCAGGTTACTATGTCAGAAACTTCCAGCTTTATAGCTTTTTCTTGTCTTGGAGGTCTCCATCTCTATCCCAGGCCACTATCAAAGTACTTCGCCAATAAAGATGATTCCTCACAGGAGTTCTTGAGAGATGGAGATGGTTCTCACATAGGTCTTCAGGGAGATAAAGATGATTCCCCCCAGAGGATTTCCAGGGAGATAGAGATGATTCCCCACAGAAGGACTTCCTGGGAGATAGAGATGATTTCCTACAGAGAACTTCAGGGAGATGGGGATTATTCCCCCACAGAGGACTTGCAGGGAAAAAGCTATAAAGCTTGATTTCCCACAGAAGGATTTCTAGGGAGTGATACTCAGTGTAAGAATCACTCTCCTGTTCTTTCACACCTAGCACATCTTCCTGTGAGGACCTGGGCTATTTATCCTGGGCTCACCTCCACTTCCTAGTATCTGCTTTTGTTTCTCCCATCCCATGTTTAGGCCATTTCTTCCATGAAAACCTCAGGTTTCGGTTGTGCACAGTGGTGCCTGCCTGTACTCCCAGCTACTTGAGAGGCTGAGGCAAGATGATCATAAATTTGAGCCCAGCCTGGGCAACTTAGACTCTACCTCAAAGTCTGGGGATATAGCTCTGTGTTTGCCTCTCATGTGTAAGGTCCTGGGTTCTATTCCCAGCACTGGGCAGTGGGAGGGATCCCATTCTTCTCCATGCCTTCCAGATTCAGTCAGATCACTTCCTCTTTTGAACCCCTGATGAGCTACTCATGATCCTGAGCCTTGTCTCATCATCTGTGGCCTCTTCTCTCCCTCCCTCTAGCAGAGGCACCCACTGCTTTCTTTGTAGTACTGGGAATTAAGTGTGTTTTCTAATAGTATTTTGTGGTGAACTCATCAAATTTGACCTCCTTAGAGCCTTAGAGCCTCCATGGATGGTCAGAAGTGTGGACACAACATAACCAGAGACTTTCTGAGTTTTCTTCCCATGTAGCCCTTCCTCTGATGTTGAATCATAAGCAGAGTGGCTGAAGAAATCATTACTAAGTGTGTGTGTTCGCTGTGTCTTGGTTCCCTGGCTCTGTGTTTGGCTGTTGCCCCACCTGCAGCTTGCCTCATCCAAGCACCTGCAGTCAGACTACCACAGAGCCATATCCTCAGTGCAGCATGCAGGTGCATTCCTGAGCAGCACACCTCGCCTGTGTGCAGTCAGGAGGGCAGCCTTGTGTGGAGGTGCACTCAGGGCCACATGGACCTAGTGCTGCTTGGTTTTGCTTTTTTTCTTAACCTTCCATTTCAGGTCATTTGGACTGTGTGATACCTGCCTTTGACACATGTGTTTGTATTTTCAGAGTTGGCAATATCCTGTTTTCTGTTGAAACTCAAACCACAGAAGAAAGGACACAATTATATCATGCTGAAATAGATGCACTTTATAAAGATCTGACAGCAAAAGGAAAAGTATTGATTCTTTCATCAGAATTTGGGGTAGGTTTCTCTCTGCATTTTTCTTCCTGTGATTCTTTTGTAAATGTTTTAAATCCCGTGCTTGAACTTTCATGGAGATTGTACACTTTATGGTTGCAGTCAGATTGAATTGACCCACAAATCTTTCTTCTCTTAGTACTCATATAACCAAGAAATTTCCTGTGTTTTGCAACTGCAGTAAAGAGTGTGATAAATTTACAGTTCATATTGTCAGTACTGTGCCATGTTATAATAGTTGGGCTTTGATAAGATGTAGATAAAGAGTTGGTCCATGGTAAAGATGTCTGTTTTTCCCTCTGTCCTATCTTCCTTCAGTGTGCTTGATGCTCACAGTTGCACACTTAGAAAAGCTTTGGGTAGCTGATGCATTCTGATATGCTGATGGTAGTGAACACCACCGAAGTTGGCTGACTGGGCAGATAGCAGCCCTGGTGTGTGGCCTCTTCCCTGTGTAGCCTGCCCTCTCACATCATTTCTCTGACATTTAATCAGCTCTTCTGTGTGGCCCAGCCTCTAGTCTGAGATAATAATTGAGCATATTTATCACCTAAATCTCAATGGAAAGGACTAGACACAGCTAATCAGATTGTTTTGAGCAGGGACACACGTTGGAGAAAACCTATTGCGTGCTTTTTAAATTTTTAATGCAAAATGTATTTTGATATTCCAAGTAATGTTAGAGGACCTGAGATTCCATGTTTGATGAAAGGCAGCAATTTAGAAGCTGCAGGAAAACATTGTTGTGGGCTAAGCCCTCTGTGTGCTTCTTGCTAGGAATGTGGTGCGGTGAACATTGTGGTCAGCGTCTGAGAGGAAAGAAACAGCCCTCTCCCGCTATAATGGTGGTGTTTGTCTTGTCACCTTCAAATGTCCATTTGTGACCTAGAGTTTAAGTTGATGAGCTTGTGTGTCCTTCTTTCTAGGAGGCTGATGCTGTCTGCAACTTAATCTTGTCCTTGGTTTATTACTTTTATAATTTAATGCCCCTCTCTCGAGGATCTAGGTAAGATACCCTGGGATTAAATTTTTGTTTTATTTTGTTTTGTGTTTTCAAGACAGGACCTCACTATGTAGTTCAGGGTGGCCTTGAACTCACAGTAGTCCTCCTGCTTCAGCCTCCCAAGGGCTGAGATTGGGCCAGCATGGCCAGCTGTAAGATTGTTCTCTGTGGCTTATCCTTCCTTTTATGGTTTTAAGTACAAAAGGTACCTTCTATTCTCAGTTCAATACAAAATGATTTCCTGTCTATAATATCATCAAGAGAATTACAAATAGTAACTCTAAATTAACTTGCAAAAGTCTAGTAGAAAAGGGAGCTTTCTTTCACCAAAAGCTTATGGAAGACTCACTCTATGCCATGTAAGGCACTCTTTACACTTTGGTTTTGGTGTTTGCCAGTCCCTCATCCTACCCACTCATCCTTCCTTCATCCCACCATTAGCCTACCTAAATTTAACCTTAATGTGTTCATTCTTTTGGATCACCAACCCTTCCTTAACTTTTTTTAATCAATTCTTGCTACTCATAAGAGTGGACCAGAAGGTTGTAAGGTGCACTTAAAACAAGGGACTCATCTGGACTTCCCTTTTTGTTCCCTTTTCTCAGTAGGTTCTGCAGTAAATCATGAAAATGACGTATTGCGCATATTTGAACTTGGGATGTTTTGGGTAAAATACTTGTGTACCTTACATGTTTTAGAATATAAAACTCCCCTAAATGTGGCAGTCAATGTTGTTACAGTATTTTAAAGGCATTGAAACACAACAGGAACATGAATATCTTATTTTCAGCAGGATGGTTGTTAGCTTTGTCCACTGAATCAGTGACATGTGCAAGGCCTACATCCCTAGCACTGGCATTGTGTGGCCCCGGGGAAAGCCTCTGGCCCTGGTCCTCTGTCCTCTAATTGACTCTGCTGGCTGATGTTTAACAGTGGGGAGAGGGAGCAGCCTCTGTCCTCCCACACCCCTTGTTCCTACTTCTGTCCTGAAGCTGGTTGCTTCTGCTTCTGACACTTGATTCTGTCCAGACCCTTGTCATCCCCTGTCCCTGTGTCTAGACTTTGCTCCTTTCCCTGTGTACCCAGGCCCTGCCTGCCAGGTTTCCCTTGGCTTCGTCACCTCCCTCCTTGGCTGCCCTTTCCCTTGCCCCGTGGCTACCCTCCTCCCCGCTCCTGCTCACCTTTTCTTTACTCTCAATCCACCAGCCCTTGACCATGCAGCCTCTGTCATCTGCCTGGTGGGCACCTGGTAAACAACCCACAAATCAGTTCTCTTTCCATGGAGTCCTCCCGTGCTCTTGCCATCCAGCCCTGCTGGGTACCCAAGCCACAGCTCCCTGAGCCCATCACCGTGGCTTCAGTACCAGGTTCTGCAGGGTGCTGCCACTTCCTCCACCCAGCCAGACACTTTCTGCCCTAGCCCCCACAGGTGCCCACATTTGTCCAGGAGTGACTGGTACAGCAGTCAGTCACTGTGCTACCTTGGTGATTCATACTCACTCCCAGAGCTCCGAACCACTTGTTTCTTAGTGTACTCTGTTCTGCTTTTCTTCTCTGGAGCTTAAAAAGTGATTAATATAACCAGATGTGGTGGTACAACTAACCTCTAGTTCCCGTACTCTGGGTGGCTGAGGCAGGAAGATCACAAGTTTGAGTCCAGCCTGAACAACTTAGGGACTTGATGAGAACCCTGTCTTAGAAAATATAAAGGGCTAAAGGTGTAGGTCAGCATAAGACCTAGATTCAGTACACCCTCCAAATGTATTTACAGAGTTTATTGTATATATGCATTTTAAAGCCAAGTTTTGTAAAGTTGTTAAAAATGTAAGTGGGCACATTTTTAAACGTACAGTTTCATAAAAATAGAAAAACAACTAGGAAGAAAACTAATAAAAACACCTTTTTTTCTACAAAAGAGAATGTTCTTGGTGATTTTACCCTTAAGTTAGTACATCAGTATGTATTTTCATAATAAATTCAAAAATATTTTTAAGTAAAAAGTATTTTTATGTGGAACTAAATATTTAATGTTTTCGTCTCAAGAATTCTTACATGGAATCTTACTTTACGGAAAATACTTGGTGAGAGTTGACATGGTATCTGTCTGGGCCAGGCCCTGCTGAAGGCTGTTCTTTGTTTAAACAGTGTCATCGCCTATTCTGTCATCGTGGGGGCGCTGATGGCCAGTGGGAAAGAAGTAGCAGGGAAAATTCCCAAGGGCAAGGTACGGGTCACTGCTGAGGGGCTGGGCCATGTGTGAAGTCTTCGTCTGGGGACTCCTTTTCTATCGTATGTGAGCGAGACAGACCTCAAACTGAACCTCTCCCCTCTACATTAACCACACTTCTAAATTTCTTTCCTTTCTAGTTAGTTGATTTTGAAGCTATGACCGCCCCTGGTTCAGAGACCTTCAGCAAAATAGCTAAGAGCTGGATGAACTTGAAAAGGTAACATGTCGGGACTGAGACACGGCATCACTGGAGAAGGGATGGGGCTTCCTCCTATAGCCGCAGGAAGGCCACTGTTCTGTTGTTATCAGTTGATGCTAATTATAATGGTTTAATCTTCAGAGTTAAAATGTTTTCCTGCTGTATAGAGTGAATGATGGATAAAAATGAATGATACATAAAAAATACAGAAAATCATTTATGAAAAGGAAGTTACTGATATCTTATGTATATGATCAAGTATTTGTTTCTCTCGCTCTGTTTACCCTGGTCTCTGCTATCCTGTGTGCCAGGCTCTTGAGCTCTGGATTCTGGAGTGAAGTTGAACCTGCAGGGACACTCTGGGTGGTGGTTTAGCCTGTGTCCCAGGGCTTTTCTCCTCTCCAGTTTCAAAAGGTGGTACTTCATCGCACCATGGGGAGGGGCTGTGTGAGAGCCAGTGGGCACCAGCATGTGCCAGAGACCCCAGCAGGCCCATGCTTTGCTCATTCCTGGCATCCAGAAGCAGGGAGAGCAGCAGCAGGATGCGTGGCACACAGTCCTGTGTCTATCAGTTTCATTTTCTTTCCAAGGCTTTGGATGAGCTTCCAAGCAGCATGGGTCGCCAGGCCGCTCATGGAAGGCCTGGCTATCTGCTGCTCCTGCCTGCTGTCCTCCTGGTGCCCTGCCTCACACCCTCATGGGCTGTTGGGAATGAATGCAGCTAAGGAGTAAGGAACCCTGTGCTTTGGCCTTTTGTGTAAACTGTGTTAATGTTCACAACCTCCCTGTGTTTTTCTTTTTTAGCATCTCCCCTTCATACAAGACCCTCCCAGCAGTGTCAGAGACGTTTCCTACATTAAGGTCAATGATTGAGGTGCTAAACACAGACTCCTCTCCACGATGTCTCAAGAAACTGTAGTTATGCATGGAGTTTGTACATGTGAAGGGCCAGGCCTCTTGCTTCTTAAGTTATTTTTTAAAACATGGAATTAAGAAATTAGGTCTTTTATTACTTTTGATATCAATTTTTGATAGGAATTGAATACTTGAAATCATTTTCTTTACTTTCTGAACCATAAAATCATGAAAACAGGTTTCGGGGGAAAAACTACTTGACAAGGAAGGGACGTGTATGTATTACCTGGCAGCCTGATGGTTTCCACTTGTGAACTGACATGACTTCTTCCTTATGGCAAAAAGTATTTACTTCAAAAACCAAAAATTAGGTGAACAAAGCCAAGAACAATCAAGGAGTGTCTTCGTGCTGTGGGATATTTGGCTTCTCAGACTTTCCTCGTGTGAGCCACACGCCGGGCTTTGCTCCTTGGCTGGTGGGTACTCCGTCCTCCCAGCACTGTGGGTGGTCCATGGGCTGACCGCACGCGCCACAGCTGATAGCTGGGATCACTCGGTCCGAAGATGCACACAGTATTTGCCAATGTCCAAAACATTGAATTGCTGAACCATGTCTTGTCTTTGCTGGAAAAAATAAACCGCAGTGATTTCTATAAGTCACCAGTGTTTGGCACTGACTCACTTGTGAGTTTGTTTTGTTAACAGTTTGCTCTTGGGCCCGAGGATTTTCAGAAGGTTGCTGTCTTTTTTCAGACAAGTGAATGGCAGCAAGTAAAAGGGTTCATTAAAATGTTGCCATCTCCAAATCACTTTTAGTTTTTGGTTTTTGGGGATTTGTTTGTTTGTTTGTTGGAGCCAGACACTTTTTATTAACTGACCAAATGATAAAAACACCATGGTAGATACCTTAGTTCATCCTTCTAATAAACCTGTTGATCTGGTCTTCCCTATTTCCAGCATCTCCACCTTCCACAAAGTGGGTGGTCTTTTTCTTCATTCTACCTCATGGAGAAGATAATTTGAAGGGCCACAGGAAGTTACTTACCTCTTAGAAATATTTTCTAACAGTATAGATCTCAAGAATCAGATCCTCCATGCAGATGATGCCATATTTATCTGTTTATATCTCATCCCATTAAAACTAACTGAGCTCCCAGGCACTCAGCTGTCTTAAGAACTCAGACCTGGAGCAACCCCCGGGGCAGCTTGAGTCACCTCAGCATGAGGTGGACAGGCAGGCAGAAAGCTGTGGCCTGTGGGTACAGATGACGGAAAGGAGCAATGGAGCTGCACCAGGCCAATTTCTGCTCATGTAAGTAACACGATTTTAGCGTTGTTGGGAATCCTAGGAAGTAGCATGCTCAGGCACAATTGCCTGGAGTTCTAGAAAATGGCCCATCACCCACCCTATGTGCCTGATAACCTGGGCCAGGGTGGATGGGGTTCAGCAAAACATTATAAGCAGCTTGATGTGGTGGATGAGAAGATCTTACGTCAGGAAGGCCATAAAAATATTATTTAAGTTCTTCAACATCTGTAAAAGTAAGAAATTGTACTAAAAACCAACTACAGTTCCATCAAACAAATTGTCCTCAGGTTAGAGCTGTTTTTAAGTGTAAATCTTCCTTTAAAATACATGTTAGGTTTACTTTTTGATTGAGACCTTTTGAGCATTCTGAGGAAACAAGACTGTGGTTTGTGTCAGTGTATGGTCCTGTCTCATCCTCCTTTAGCCTGCTGACTCCACGGTGTGAGAACCAGAACTCCCAGATCCACCTGTGGCTCCATAACCTGCCCTGTCCTGCACTCCAGCCGAGATGTGTGGGAGGTGTGGTAGGAGTGGCCATCGGTGTCCCCTGTACTTGATATGCTGGGCTGATGGTGCAGTCAGCATGTGCTTTCTGCAGGGTATTGGTTCTAGGTCCAAAATCCAAGGGTGCGCGAGTCCCTTACATAAAACAGTATAGTATTTGTGCATATCTGCTCACATTCTCCCCTATACCTTTTCTTTTTGTGTTGGGGGTGCCTAGGAATTGAACCCTGGGCCTTACAATACTAAGTGCTCTAAAACAGCTACATCCCCAGCCCTGTGCTGTCTGCTTTAAATATGTGTCATTATTATATGTCTAGATGACATATAATACCTGGTACAATATAAATGCCATGTAAATAGTGTTATATTGGGTCATTTATGGAGTAATGACAAAGAAAATCATTATATGGGGCACAGCCCCATATTAAGTGCAAACTCCATCTTTGGATGTTTCCCTCATATGCGCTGGGTGCACTATTTATGCACAGTAGTTCTCTTAACTATAGCCATTACCTTCAGGAACCCCGAGGCAATTCACTCCTCTGCCTACTACAGTAGTAGTTGTCTGAGGATCCCCCTGTTCCTGAAGAACTGGAGATAGGTGTTAGGAGCTGTCAGGAGTGTCCTGGGGCTCCACCTTTGCCCCGTGGCCCTATACTGTCCTTCACATCTGCCTCCCAGAGCCCTTCCGCAGAGCATCTCACACCTCACTTTCCCCTCCTAGCCTGTTCTGTTCCTCTTGGACAGTCCTATTTTCTGACTCCTGAGATGTACTCAGCCCCCACCATTCCACATTGTCCCGGATGACTCCTCTCTTGTAGCCTGGCTGGCGCAGCCCCATTGCCCCTCTCCCTCATCTGCACCCATGGGCCACAGCTGTCTGTCCTCATGCTCAGGTGATTCAAGCTGCCCAGGGAGCTACTCCAGGTCTGAATTCCTAAAAACAGCTGAGTGCCTGGGAGTTGAGTTAGTTTTAGTTGATTTAGGTGTAAACAGCTATCTGCAGCTACTGGGCCACACCACCTAAAGTCCTAATTGGGCTGTAGAAAAAGTATTTCCACAGAAACAACCCCAAATCAGGTTCTGTAGTGCTAAGTTAACCATACATGCATTTGGTGTACAGATTTGCTTGAATGTCCCAGCTGTCAATTTTATCATGATACTCTGACATTAAATATGTGGATTTTTTTCCCACACCAATCAGTTCTCTAATTTTGTAGATACTGTCAGGGTCTGGGAACAGAGAGGGCAGGGAGCTCAGCCTGAGGGAACAGAGACCTCAAGAGGACACAACACTGGAGCAGGGAACGTGAGACTCCTGGAGGCTGACTTTGGCATGTTAGCATGTCCCCTTTGGTTTTGTTAGTACTATCATCCAGGGTTATGGTGTTCTTCATTAACAATGGGAGGATCATGTCAGGATGCAGGGATCATGTGAAGTCAGTCCCGAGGTCACAGGTGACTCAGTTGTGTGTAAGAGGGTCAGGGGCCAGGGTGAAAAGGGCTCTGCCACATGTGAACACCAGCTTGTCCCTGGCAGAGGGGCCTACAGGTGGCATAGTCAAGGCAGAGAAAGGATAGGGCTCACTACAGTGTATTCCCTGGGGACCCTACCACCTGGGGACAGGTTGTTTGATCTCTCTGGCCTAACTATATTGGAAGGTGATAAAACTGAATACGCATAAAACTTTTTTTCCAGCTTTGAAATTTTGATTTGTTGTATATTGAAACAATTAAAAACTTACATTTTCTCTGATTAGCTAATTTGGTAAAACTCAGAAAAATCAGAGCCAATTGAAAATAGTCCCTTTTGTGCACTTGATCTAACCACAAAGGCATTTACATCAGCAGAACCTTTCTCAAAGGTCCTCTGTGTTTTGACTCCCATGTGGTAAGTGGTTAGAGACCCACCACAGAGAGACTGGCTGGTAAATAACATAGTTCCTACCTCTTGATTTCATCAGGCCAGGCCATGTTTGGCATACAGGCTAAACTAATTTCACAGTGAAATGTTGCTTTTCCTCCCTTGGTGGAGTGGAGAAGCAGAACTGAGAAGCTCTCGTAGGGCAGCCTATGAGACCCTTTTCTGCTCCCAGGTGCCTCTTTGACAGCCACTCTGTCCTTAATGTCGAAAGGTGGAAGCAAAGTGGCTCCAACTCATTCATTGCCCTAACTCCTGGACCCCCCACACTCAGGCAACTGCTCCCTGCGTGTGTTGGTGGAGGGTTGCTCCCTGCCTCCTCACTGTCTCCTTACGTGTTCATGCACACACTTTCTCACCACCACCTTTCAGTTTATTAATACATAAAAACCGAGGTGCTCCCACTGGCTTTAGGAAGATGTCCCCACTGTGGCCAAAGCCTCCCCACATACTCTTTCCAGCTTGGCAGACTTGCAACCCCCGAGTGACCTAACCCTGAGTTCTGAGATTGTCTGGCCCATGCATCTTACACGTGTGTTCACTGCATACATTTCTGCTGTCTTCTGTGCTTGTCGTGACTACAGCAACTTAGTCATTAGGAAACAGGTCCTCTAGAACCTCACCTACGGTGAAGTAGCTCACCACTTACTGTATCTTGATTACAAATGGTGGTAGTCTGCTTTTTGTCCAGGGAGATAACACATTGATAATTGTGGCAGAAAGATCACCCAATGCCCCACAGTAGACAGGAATTTGTGGTCTGTGTCACAGATGAGAACACTCATGCTGTGAAAATCTTCCTCGAGTTACAAGGTCAAGTTACAGAGCAGGAAAAAGGAAGAAGAGGGGATGTGAGTCTTCACCACATAAACCTCTCTGTGTCTCGCTCACGCAGACTTTTGTCCACCAACAGTGCCTACTGAGACCCCTCCGTGGGGCCTAGCCCTGAGTCAGTGCTGGGACAAAATGCGTAAAGCTGTAGATGCTTTAAAGAAATAGGGAAAAAGGTAACAGTCCAAGGTGTTGGACAGTTACTTTCTGCTAAGTACATAATTGTGTTTATTGCTTAATCTTCATGGAAAATGCCTAGAATGGGAACTAGAACAATGCCTAAGGAAAAGTGTAGGAAACACAAGAAACATACATTAAACCAAGCAGCCAGCAGACGATGGAGCTGGGGCTTACACCAAGCTGACTCGAGAGCCTGGTCTATACCCACAGATGCTGCCAGAGAAAACCATGAGTGTGGTAGGGTAGGACCTCCTAAAGTCCTCTGAAGGGCCAGTGGGACAGCCGAGCCGAGAGAGATGCTTAATCTTGGCCCTAAGTCAGTCCCTCTGACATGCTTCAGGTTTGAGCTTGCTTTCACTTTGCTAAGTCACTCCAACTTAAGCCCTGGGAAAAAGGGTTTCTGCTGGCTCACTAACATTGGGCAATAGAGAGATTCCCTGTTTGTAAGATGGGTGCTTTTTGCCAGGTGCCATGTGGCAGATCCCTGAATGACCAAGAGCTACGTAGGAACGTCTGCTTTCAAAACTATGTGAGGAAGGTGGCCTGGTCCAACCAGACTTGATTCCCTTCTGCCTTGGTGTAGGGTCGCAGTGCCTGCCAGCAAACAGACAGCTGGCTGAAGTCATCAGAAGCAACATATGGCAAAGCACCAGTGGAGAAAATTATGGAAGCTCTGAGTGAGGATGCAGGGATGGCATCTGCACAGTGGAGTGTGGCTCTGGAACCCTCTGGGGCCTGTTTGGCTCTTCCTTTTCTGGAAAGGGTGCTTACCAGGAAGTAAGGAGTTGACATTTAGTGGCTAAAATACATTTCAGTAATGGCAATACACCTCTGGGTCTACCACCTTTTTTTCGATTGGTGTAGATCAGTACAGTTTATAGAGCAGTTCTGTTTCACATTAGTCAGGAAAATTAC